ATGTTTGGCCAACCATTCCAATACATATTAAATATTCTATTTTTATCCCACAGATTTAAAATGCCATCATTATCACGCACTAAATTCTCATTCCTACTTAAATCTGTTTCTGAATTCTCTACTCTGCTCCATTCCATTCCTGTAGCAGATGTTAACTCTTTATATAAGAGGGATATTATTAGCTTTTTATCTTTCCTATTTCTCACAAATATTTTGTCACATATTTTTTTAATATGGTCATAAAAATTCCTTTCAGCTTTCTTTTACTGCTTCAGAGTTCAAGAAATATGATAAGTATCTACTTCTATTCCTAATTTTTCTGTGAGATGAAAAATATTTAGCCTATCTTTAGTCTAGCTAGAGTTCATATGGTGTAGCACACAAAAATTTGAATACATTTTTTTAAATCTGGATGCTTAGAGTGAGTTTTTTCATTTAAAAAATTTTAGTAAAATAAACATAACATGTGATTTACCATCTTAACCATTTTCAAGTACACAGCTCAGTGGGATGAAATACATTCGTACCGTTGTACAGCCCTCACCACTGTCCATCTCCAGAATTCTTCCCATCTTGCAGAGCTGAAATTCTACCCCATTAAACAGCAACTCCCTAACCCTTCTTTCCCCAGGTCCAACCACCATTCTATTTTCTGTCCCTATGATTTTGACGACGCCAAGTACCTCATATAAGTAGACCCATACAGTACTTGGCCTTATTGTGATAAGTTTATTTCACTGAGCATAATGCCCTATAGGTTCATCCATGTTGGAGCATGTTCCAGAATTTCCTGCCTTCTTAAAGCTGTGTAACATCCTGTTACGTTGCTTATCCATCCATCTACAGATGGAGACTTGGGTTAATGCTGCTATGAATGTGGTATACAAATATCTCTTTGAGATCTTGCTTTAGATTCTTTTGCTTGTATACCCAGCAGTAGAATTGCTGAACCATATGCTATTTCTACTTCATAATTTTTAGAAAATGGCATACATTTCTTCCTAGCAGCTGTAGCAGGTCACATTCCCACCAACCGTGCATGAGGGACCCAGTTTCTCCACATCCTTGCCAACACTTGTTACTTTCTGGTTTTTTGATAGTAGCCATTCTGATGGGTATGAGGTAGTAGTATAAGGTGACCAGATTTTAACACGGGACACCATTGACCGGGGGGGGGGGGGCCTGACAACAATGCAAAGTTTGATAAGCAGTTCTTGATAATCACTTCTCAACAATTATTTGTTATTATAGTTCAACATTATAAAATTAACAAAAATAATATAAAACTCACATCCTGGCAAAATAGCCACATGGCAGCTGAAAACCATATATTCCCTTACTGTTCTCCCGCCTGTTCGTGCATTCTTTCCAAAAATCAGGACTTTTTTAAAACGCCGAGAAATACAGGACAAATTGTTAAAAATTGGGACTGTCCCGCCAAAAGTGGGACGTCTGGTCACCCTAAGGTAGTATCTTGTTTGATTTGCATTTCCTTAATGGTTAATGATCTTGAGCATATTTTATTGTTGACTTGTTTATCTTCTTTGAAGAAATGTCTATTCAAGTTCTTTCTCAATTTTTGAACTGAGTTATCTGGTTTTGTTGTCGAATTTTAGGTGTTTTCTTTATATTGTGGATATTAATCCCTTATCAGATACATGACTTCAAATATCTTCTCCCATTTTGTGGGTTGCCTATTTCCTCTGTTAATGGAAGCTCTGATGCACAGTTTTGTTTATTTATTTTTTTATTTTCATGAAGTACAATTCATCTGTTCTTTGTTGTTTGTTGTTATTGTTGCCTGTGTCTTCAATGTTCAAGAAATCATTACGAAATCCAATGTCATCAAACTTTTGCCCTATGTTTGCTTCTAAGAGTTTTATGGTTGTAGCTCTTACATTTAGGTCTTTGATCCATTTGGAGTTAGTTTTTGTATGTGGTGTCAGGCAAGGGTACAACTTCATTCTTCACACCTAATCTTGCTCAATCATCATATCCAAGCGATGCCAATGTCACCAGAATGCTATGTGTGCTGGTCAATGGTGAAAAGTGACCCAGAGCAATCTTTAGACGCTAAATGCATCAAAGGTTAAACTCAGGTTGTGATTCTGTACTATGTACTATTTTTTTAACATGAAAAAGAAATTGATGTGCATATCATGCAATATTTTGCTTTCCCCCTAATCTGTTATTACATGGAGTATCTTACAATCAACTGTACTTCACAATCAGAGAGGTATTTTTACATAAAAAAGCAGCCTAGATTAAAAACAGCAAAGAACACAACAATGCATACATACTAAGTGGAGAATCAGAGGCTATGGGTTCAGGTATCAGTACATCATCCCTTGCACCTTAGGGCAAGTCAGTAAGTAACCTTACTGCCCAAGACAAATCAGCCTGGTGAACAATCACAGATTGTAAATCACCCTAAAAAAATAATCCTCAGTCTTCAGATAGTCCTTATTAGTGAAATCCGAGAGACAATCTGTTCCTCTCTCTTATCACAGCTCCTCACATCACTTCTGGTGTAGGTGTGGTACCCATCCTACTGACATTGTTATTCATAGTCTTCCCATTTCCAAGGTCACTGCAATAAAGTCAGCAAAGAAAAGAACAAATGCCTTTTCTCCCCAACCACCCTACCCCTCTTTCGGGTCCTTACGCCATTAAACAGGCTTCCTTGTATTTCCTCTGTTATACTCCTCCACTGGTAATTTGTTTTACCCCTTACAGTTTCCTTTATCCTCAAATGTCCTACTCTAGGAATCAGGCCCAGTTTCCCTTTAAGCCAGGCCACAAATCTACTGAAGAGTCATTGCCCTACAACGTGTTCAGAACCATTTCTCCCAGGTAAGCCCCAGTCAGTGTCCCTGATTAAGTCTGTAAAGAGTTATGCTGTCTGCTCAAGGTGAGTTCCTTATTCAATAATGTTGAGCGTCTGACAGTTTTCTGTTTGGTTTGGTTTGGTTTCTTGCTAAAAGAAGCTGAGGCAAGTCTTTAGCTTTAGGTATTTGCTCATTGCCTCCCAAAACCTTTCCCACTAACCTCAGTTGTGCCTGAATCCTTGATGGACGGCCATCTATTAGGCTTCCACCTACTAGGCCCCCGTCTTGGGTCCTTTTGTTCCTTATCTTGTTAATTGAGGATGGTTAAACCCTAGAGTGAAATGGTAAAGCCAGGAAACTTTGACTTAGAAACCTAAGTCTACTGTTTTTCAAACTGCTGCTCACAACCTATTAGTGAGTGGCTTGGGAGTCAATCTAGCAGGTCCGAAACAACATTGTTAAATCACTGTAACAGAGTAAAAAAGTCACAGTACCAGCCTGAGCAAGAGCTAGACTTCTTGAGTAGACAAAATCTACTAAAAATTGAGGCAAGAGGATCGCTTGAGCTCAAGAGTTTGAGGTTGCTGTGAGCTATGATGCCATAGCACTCTATCGAGGGTGACAAAGCAAGACTCTGTCTCAAAATAAAAAATAGTCACAGTGCACAGCACAAATCAATCATGAAACGGTTGTCTCATGGTAACACGCTTCCTCAGCTTTCATTTATCTGGGAATGTCTTCATTTCTCCCTCTCTTTTGAAGGACAGATTTGCCAGACACAATCTTAGTTGACAGGTTGTTTTCTCTTTTAGCACTTTGAATATATCAGGCCACTGCCCTCAAATTTCTGATGAGAAATCTGCTGATAATCTTAATGAAGATCTGTGTATGTGATGAGTGAGAGATGTCATTTTAATCTATAAACAACTCTGTTGTCCTTCATATCCTATCCAAAGCAATGCCATATCAATGAATCTATGTAATGGCCTTGCCCATATCTCTACATGTATAATTCATTCAGGTGACACAGAATTCTTTTTTCATATCTATACTGAATCTGTTTCTTACCTCCATATGGACCATGCTTAGGGCATGCAGCAAGCAGAGATGACTAGGGAGCCAACACTGGCCTTTGAAGAGTTGAATGCCTCTCACATGGAGGAGCAGCAATCTAACCTAAATGGTGTAGAATCTATACAAAGAGAAAATTGTAACTATTCTTTTCCTCCAAAACTAACCTTAAAGTCCTTGGCCAAGTCTCATCAAAATCTTGGCCTAAAGCACAAGGTGTTGGCCCTTTGAATCCTAGAGGTCCTCATAGCAGGAAGGAACAAGATTATCTTAGGACTTATTACAGAAACTTCCAGGACGGCTCCAAGCCAAGAATGAAGCAATTTCCCACCTTCCCTGCTTGGCTAACTCCCTGCTCCACTTGGAGCTCTCTAAGCACTTACTCTGCTTCCTGGTCTGATAACCCTGACTCCTGGCTTCCTCAAACCTCAGTTATCAGAGAGAGAAATAGGCAATTCAGCATTTTCTTTTTTACTCCTTCAGGAAAAAACGAACTAAAAAAATAGTTCTTAGAGTGTGAGAAAAACTCTAGGTTAAATGGCCAGCCTTGACACCTTAGCTTTATCCTTGTTAGCTGTAAGAAATCAGCATTATTAATTCAGTCTGTGGAGCCTCAGCTGTTCAATGGAGATAACACCTATTTTCCAAAGCTACACTTTGTATAAAGTATCTCCACCTCCTCACCTCTTTACTCTGAGGTAATACTCAGCCACCAGTGTTCCAGGACTTCAATTTGGTTAGTAATCTTCCCTGCTGCACCTTAATACCACCTTCTCCTGTCTCCAAAGAACACACCAAATAGGAATACACACAAAACAACACCAAGTATATAGAAGACACAATGTGTGATTGTATCTATATGATACGCAAGGAAAAAATAAAACTGTGCTGACAGAAATCAGAGAGTGGACTGCCAGGTGGAGTGGGGGGTGGGGTAGAAAGTGGCATAAGAGAACTTTCTGTGGTGATGAAAATGTTCCATATCTTTTAGGTGGTTAAGTAAGAATATATAATTGTCAAAGCACAATCACACTGACACTTCAGATGTGTACATTTTATTGTAAGAAAAATTATACCTCAATTGAAAAAGTATCTTTGATATCGTCAGGTGGGATAATCCTTACCTGTTTCTCCTTATAGAGAACAGATTAGAAAAAAATCTTTGATATAGTTCACTTGCTCATTAATATAAGGGGGAAATGTGACTTTTAGGCTAGGTGCAGCAGCTTGCATTTGTAATCCTGGCACTCTGGGAGGGTGAGGCATGTGGATTGCTTGAGCTCAGGAGTTTGAGACCAGCCTGAGCAAGAGCCAGACCCTGTCCCTAAAAAAGTAGCTGGGCATTGTGGTGGTCGCCTATGGTCCCAGGTACTTGGGAGGCTGAGGCAAGAGGACCACTTGAGCCCAAGAGTTTGAAGTTGCTGTGAGCTAAAGATGCCAGGGCACTCTACTAGGGGTGACAAAGAAAAAAATAAGGCATGCTTACATGTGATTTTTATCTTTGGTCCCACTAGTATGACAGGTCAAGCTATACAAGTCCTCTGGGTGTCACACTGGCTAACTGTAAAATGTGGAATATTTATCATCCACCTCAAATACTGTATCCCTATCTAAGATAATTCATGGTAAGTGGCAGAGACATAGTAAGCACTCAATATATGTTAATCCCCTTCCTTTTCTCTTCCATATATAAAGAGCAAATGAGGTGTCAATAATGCAATACTTAAATTTTTTTCCCAAGAGGACTACTCAATTATCAAGAAAAAAAAGAATGTTAAAGAAAGGGTGGGTTCGGCACCTATGGCTCAAATGGCTAAGGCACCAGCCACATACACCTGAGCTGGCAGGTTCGAATCCGGCCTGGGCCCGCCAAACAACAATGATGGCTGCAAACAAAAAAATAGCCAGGCATTGTGGCGGGTGCCTGTAGTCCCAGCTACTTGGGAGGCAGAGGCAGGAGACTTGCTTGAGCCCAGGAGTTGGAGG